AGTTTCATCGTGTTGGATCATCTTGCCTTAAACCCCTCACAGATTGTAGCTCCACATGTGCAACACTCTTTAAAAAGTTTTTCTTCCTAGATTGAGAACCTTTACAGTACTTAACACTCTCTCTAACTTTAGTGACAGCATCTCCAACCTCTTTTAAGCCATCCTGCATAATGAGGTTCATGATATGTGCACAACACCTAACATGAAAATAAGCACCTTCACAAACTAAATCAAATTCAGTCTTTAAATAGTTAACCATCGCATCATTAGCAGAAGCATTATCTAAAGTAATGGAAAAAACTTTTTTTTGAAGTCCCCGATCCTTCAAAAGACCAAATACATGATCACTCATAGCAAGACCGGTGTGTGGCAAACGTAAAAAACTAAAATTTAAAATCATTTTCCGTAAATTCCAAGAACTATCAATGAAATGGGCGGTTAAAGAAAGATAACCATCAGTGGTTATAGATGACGAGCAATCTGATGTCAAACAAATCCTACCTGGGATACAACTTAAAGCCTTTTTCATTTTCATCTTTTCCATTTTATATATATCAAGAATTTCGGCTTTTATTGTATTCCTTGCAACCATTTTAACTTCAGGATTTAGATAAGTAAAACTTTTCCTAATACCTTCGTATTCAACAAATTTAAATGGCAGGTCATGCCTTACTATGGTAGCGACTAACATCTCACGGAAGGTATCATGATTAAACTCAAGGACCCTGGTAGTTATTGAACCACCATTGCTACTGATGTGGAGTTGTTTATGATGGCATGTGCGGAATTAGAAAGATCTAGTGATTCATCATACAAATTCAAGAACACAAGGAGTAAATAAATCTTTGTAAGCTCTTATTAGATCTAGAAAGATTATACAAATGGGTTTGTATACAAATTCTCTCTCTAGTCAAACACTCCAAATGATTCCTTACATAATGGGAGTCACTCACTTCCTATTTATAGGAAAGATTTAACCCATTTACACATACAAGAGAGTAAACCTAAAACATTACATCCAAGAGTGACTTTGCACCCTAACATTCTCCCCCTCAAAGTTAGGATTGGATGTCCGGCTTTAATCTCCAACGAGCTAGTGCGATCAAGACCAAACTCCCCCTCGAAGTAACACCGATCTTCAAATCCGCAAATGAATATTCGACAAACCCGAGAAGCTTCGAATACCCATCATTCTCCCCCTTTTTATAATCAAAAAATGATTATAAAACCCACTAAGGATGAGAAGCGCCCGAGGAATAATCTTCACAATACTCCCCCTTGATGTGTACCAAAAATGAATCACCAAAAATCTTGCACGGAAAAACAATCACGAAAAAGCCACAAAAAATTTTCAGTTTATGAAAATTTTTGACTTTTTGGGTGAAAGTTGCAAGATTTTTCAAAATCCAGGTAGAAATTGTCATTTTCTGAAACTTGCAGGGATCCGTTGCGTCCAAAACAGCCAAATATGCAAAAATCTCCCCCTTTTTCAAATCTGGGTAGAAAGCGTCAATTTGCACAAACTGCAGGGACCAGAAATGCACAATCTTCAATTTTCAGCAAAATATAGTCCTTTTTCAAATTTGGGTGAAAACTGCACAAAATTCGAAGTTTCAGGTACCATCTTCGAAATTCTGCTCTTTTGCTCCAAAACGTACGAAGCATGCCCATTCTTTCGAAGACTTGTGTTATTTTCGAAGTGACAACAATTTGAAGGTTCAGGGGCTATTTTTGAAACTTTGTGTTTTGCTCCATTCTTTCGAAGCACGAAGACTTAAACATACGAAGAGTTTTTTTTTTTTTTTTTTTTTTTCAGGAACCCTTCGTTTTTCTCAATATTCACCCCAAACCAAACACCCTTCATAAATTCACCAACCCTTCGAAAATTTCATCAACACCAAAACACAGGGACCCTTCGATTTTTCATTCAAAATCCAAATTATCTACTTTCAGTTCATTATCATACAAGATCCTTATCAGCTTTCCAAATACCCTTCGTATGTTTATGATCAAAATCAGCTTTCCAAATGTTCGTTTCTTACAGTTTACCCCAAATCATCAAACATACTTGAACCCTTCGTAAAATCAACTAGAAACCGACTCCTTAAAATCTCGTTCCCAATTCATCTCCTTCAAACATCGATTTCCAAACTAACGAACATACACTCCAAATATTTAATCTTCGAAATCCCAAAATCAAACACCCCTTCGAATCTTCTATTATCAATTCCAACGCATCGATTGTCTTCGATTCCAAATCTGAGTTCGGATCTCAAAAGTCATCAATCTTCGAAATCAGATTACAAGCATTGACCTTAAGCCGTCGATTGTACATTTTGATTCCAGAAATAATCAACAACACTAAGCTCAAGTCCAAGAAATTTACAGACGATTGCTTTGATTCTCAATCAAAATCGAAATTATCTTCTCAATGCTACTATTTTCTTCTATCATAACACAATCAGTTTCAATTTGACTCCAAAATCGATTCCAATCACACACTTTTGACTTCGATTTTTGATCTTCTCTCAAACAATTTTGCCTTTCAATCCATTGAATCGACTATGAAAAATCTGATTTTGACTTTTTCATTTGACTCTTAATTGAACATCAAGAACAACGTCGATTTCCATTAGCGAATCCAGCCTCCAGGCTTTCGCTTTTCAAAAATCAAACATTCCCTTTTGTTCCAGTCAACTTTCGAAATCAGATTAACTCGACTTCAAGAACAAATCAAACTATGTATAACAACATCAGTCTAAACTTCAATCAGTCTTAAATCATATTTCTATTCCAATTGATATTATCGTTATATCAGTCTAATAAGAATGCCAATAATCAACAATCGACCTCAAGACGTTCAATTTCACAAACCATCGAAATCAAACCGTCTAATCTGATTAACCAAAATCGATTGCGACTTCAACTCAAATTGATTTCTTTCCAGATACGAACTGGAAACAATATCAGATTCGATTTCGACTCCAAGCATCTATTAGTCGAAAACTTCAATGTCGATTTTTCATGAATCTATTAATCAAATGGGATCGATTCACCAACAACGACTCAAAGAAATCAATTCTCAGATAAAGAACCGATGAAGACAATATAAAATTGTACAACCAGACAAGGCTGATGTACAAGTTGACTGACTAACATCATATACGTCGATTGAAAACAGATTCAAGTATACATCGGCTTTTCGATTTAAGATATCGGATCAACTGGACTCAATCTTGGATCGAACGAACAGTAAAAGCAATGGATCAAGATCAATTGGGCTTTTCAAAGGATTTCAAATGATTTACTTTCTTTTGGACTTAGTAATTGAAGCTATAAACAGCAACAGATCGAGAATTTTTTTGGATTAAAATGGATTATGGGCTTAATCATGAACTATGAATAGTAACGATTATTTGTGTTGGGCTTGATCAAAAAAAATTAATTGGATCAAACAAAGGGGTTGAAACGGATTTGATCAAATGAAGCAAATTGATCTAAAATGAAAAACGTAAGATACGAATCGAAATCATGGACGTTTTGGAATCCATTTGAGAATTTGAGATACCTTTTTGACGAATCGAGATCCATTAGTAATGAACGAATCAAATTTAGAAGATCTTGGTTCTTTTGTCGGAATGAGGAAATCTCCAAATCGAACATTGTACCACCCACCATGCAAGATGTACAACTCGTTCTTCATGTTCTTCGTCGATCCAATAACATCTTCAAAAGAACCACCAACACTTTTAGGTTTTAACTTCAAATTCAATTCAACACTTGGAAATTGTTTCTTTGGAACCCAAATTTGCTTCACGAATTTTGGCTTCACAACATATGACGATTTTTGTGAGTAAATCCGCTTATTCTTCCGATTCATCTTCTTCTTCTTTTTCTTTCTCATCTTTTTGCATCTTAAAGACTTGACTTCATGAACAAACCCACTTTCAACAACATGAACATTTTGAGTTTGAATCAAATCTTTTGGAGTTTGATACTTGTGATTTTCTTGGATCACCGGCTTCCGATAAGGAATCATTCCTTCAAACGAATCACAAGAACACAAAATATCATCGGTTTGAACTCCAATTGAGCAAAAAACCTTTTCATCTTGAGAATCAACTTGAACTCCTTCTTCTTGAACATCAAGAACATCAAGAACATCTTCAACAAACTTAAGAGCAAGAAGATCATTCGGGTTTTCAATAAGAGAAATGAAATACTTATCAAACACTTCTTTTTCATTTCCTTTCTTCATATCTCTCTCAATCATCAAGTTATTGTAAGCTTTAGTCAAGCATTCAATCTTTGAAAGCGGTTGAAAAATTAATCCTCCATGATCATTCTTCAAACCTCCATAAGAAATCAAAGTATCCCATGAAATCATCCCGCTTTTGAATATTAATCCAATAAATTGTTGTAAGTTGACCTTGTATTTGACATCTTTAATGATCACAATCAAAGAATCATACTCCAAGTACACCATTTCCATCATGATTACAAGAACTTGAAATTTTCTAGAGAGAGAAAGTGATTATGAATGGGTTTTCTAGAGAGATAAAGTGATACAAACAAGTATTCTAGAGAGAGAAAGTCGAATTATGGATCAAATCAAAGAAAAATTCGACTTCTAGAACACAAAAACACTCTCTAAACACGAAGATCAATGAACAATAAGAATCACCAAATCAAAATAGCCATCAAGGATCAATTCTTGATGAAATCAAGAACACCCGCTCTGATACCAATTGATGTGGAGTTGTTTATGATGGCATGTGCGGAATTAGAAAGATCTAGTGATTCATCATACAAATTCAAGAACACAAGGAGTAAATAAATATTTGTAAGCTCTTATTAGATCTAGAAAGATTATACAAATGGGTTTGTATACAAATTCTCTCTCTAGTCAAACACTCCAAATGATTCCTTACATAATGGGAGTCACTCACTTCCTATTTATAGGAAAGACTCAACCCATTTACACATAAAAGAGAGTAAGCCTAAAACATTACATCCAAGAGTGACTTTGCACCGTAACAACTACCAATATCCAAAACCATTTGCCCAATATCCTTAAAACGACTTGGTTTACAACTCCTAAGATGGCGTTTTAAATTTCCAGTACCCATTCTAGTTTCAGCATTATAAACTTGACCACACTTTTTACATTTACAATGCAATTCACCATTTTCATCAGTATCCAGAACTTCAAAATCATTCCAAACCTTTAATTTAAGTTTTTTGTGACGTTTGACATCCACACCAGTTTTTTGTGGCTTTAATTGCTTGATGGGATTTGGATTCTTCTCATTGTCCCCTGTTGGAGGTGTAAGAGACCGCACCCCATGGACATCTTCTTCCGATATTTCAACAATATTCGTCACTGAAAAAAGAAAGTGTTAATCTAACACTTAACATAAATAAAATTAACTAGAAAACATCTTAATGGAAGAACTTGAATAGAAATATCTTACTTTTGTTTTCGTTTTCAGATGTCAAATTCTCCATGGAATCGGAGGTAAACTGCTGCCAGAGAGAATTAGAGAAGGAATATGAAGTGAAATTTGAAGTTTGCTTCTTGCTTCTTTGCATATAATCAAGTTGTATTATACTATTACTGGTCGTATAGTGTTCCAATGAAGATTGTATTGAGGAGCACATCGAGGAGCTGTGAAATCCAAACGCCAAAATTGAAACGTCAAAAAGATGAAGCAACTAAAGGATATTAAGAAACCTAATGTGTAAAGCCGTAAGCTTCTAATTAATACATAATAATTAAAAAATGTATTCTAACCTTTTTCCGACTCTAATTTAGGTTTGCGTATGGGATTCATTCACTGATTTGTCCGTGTCTAAAAACTAAAAAGGCTCCATAGAAACTAAGACCTTTAATAAATTAATAGGGTTATAGAAATACGATTAAACATATTATTATTATTATTATTATTATTATTATTATTATTATATATATATATGTATGTATATATATATATATATATATATATATATATATATATATAATACTTAAATAGGTTGGCGGGTTGAAAATAGGTCGACAATTTTTTCCCAACCCAACCTATTTAATTAAATGAGTTAGATGGGTTGACACGTATAACTTAAACGGGTTGAAAATTTAAACCCATCCCGCTAATTTTGGGTCGGGTTCGGCTCGCTTTCTGCCAGCTCTATTATGGATCGTAGTCAAGAATGATGTTTTGATCAAATGTGTATCTTTGTATTCTTAAACATGAGATACATATTTGGGACTTGAAGTGTAAGAATTGTTGTGCTTTGACACGGTTTAACGTTCATCTATAAAAGGCAGTCATAAGGGCCATCATTGGGTATGACATGAACTACATTGATGGGCGTATGTAGTCAAGATGAGATTTCTCCCTTTATTCGTTGAGAGTTGGACATCTAAGGCCTTACTTAAAGTTTGAACACTAAGGTGTTGTTTGTTTTTTTTTAAAAAAACTCTTCAAACCACTTTCTGCTGCATGGCGCAGCACACGCGCAACACTTTCCCTCTCGCAGCAATTTGTTTTTTAGAAGATTTCATACTGCAAAACCTTTGTACGTACGTGTGCTGAGTGGCGCAATACTTGACTTACCTCTTCAAACCTCTTCAGCTTTCATTTTTTTGAATTGTTTTTTTTAGAATTTTGGTATAGCTTTTTTTTTTAACTTTTATTTTTCTAAAAAACTTAGATTTTTTAAACTTTTATTTACGAATTTTATACAATTTCTTATTATAGTTTCCACAAATTTTTGGAACTTGATTTTAAAAAAAAAAAAAAAAAAAAAAAAAAAAAAAAACATTAATTTTTTTTAATTTTTTTACTATTTCTGTTAATAATATTTTTCAGTTTAATTTCATATTTTTAACATGTATAATTTTTTACAAACTTTGTAGACATCATTTGCAATTCTTTCTTATTTATTTTTTATTTTTTTTTCTCTTTTATGTTTTTTAAAATTAGTTTTTTTTCTAGAATAAAGTTGTTAGCTTCTTTTATATTTTTGTAAGTTTTTTTTTAAGTTTTATATTTTTGTTTTTTTACATGTTCTTTTTATTACTCTTTCAATGTTTTAAGATTAGAATTATTTAAATTTCGGTGTTGAAAACTAGTTTCAGTTTATAAAATTAGTTTATTTAATTTTTAGTTTACGGTAGCTGTTTGCAGATGTTAAAAAACAAACATGCTTCTTATTATGGGCTACAGCCGTTTGTTCCACCTCTTCTGCTACAGAGGATTGTAGAGGTGGTCCGCATGCTTCAAGAATTTTCGGTTCGAAAAAACAAACAACACCTAAATGAGATTGATCACGATCTGCATCTCATGTTCAAAATGATGTCTGAGACAAATGAATAATTGATACCACACCTTTAGTAACAATTGTAGCTTAGAGCTCCTAGAATTGGTTGTTGATGAGATGACACCCTTCATATGTTGTTAGATGCAGTAGCCCATTACTAGACGCCAACTACTGTCTATGCCAGTCTGTAGTGAACCTTGTGCAAGTAGAAGATTATTGAATCTATATGCCCAATAATCATTATGGAGTGACATTGCTAATAATATATGATCATATAGGGTCACACCTTTATTAAGTTGGCACATTTTGTATATTTATTATTAATATGATTATTAATAAATAATATCAATTCTTGTAATTTAATTAGGTAATAATTATTGTTTTGTGAAAATAATAATTATAAGAGAGTATAACTAGTTATTATTTCATATGGTATGAATTAATAAGTCATGCACAACCTTTTAGACTAGTTGGATTCTTTTTGTCTTTTTCCTAAAGACAAAGTTTATATTTAATAAACTTGGAGCTTATAAAAATTAAAGAATCCATCCTTTTTTGAGAGGTATGGCTGAAATATGTATAAAATAATGGAGATTGCTTGTCAACCTCCATGCTTTGTCTCTCCATGCTTCTAAAGGCTAGAAATACTTTAGAGTATTTCAATAGTTAGGCTTTACTTCGCACAGAGTATATAAAGGATGTATCTTGCATGATTTTTGGCTAGTTTTTCTGTCTCAATACCTCTCTTAAAGAGATGGTCGGAAATTCTCTTTCTCTCCTCCTCTCTCTCTTTTGAAGTTAGTTTGGTGATTTAGAAGCCTTCTTGAGTTGTATCATTTAGTGCTTATTTGAGTTAAACACTTAAAGGCTTAAGAAACTTAAGAATACAAGAAGGAAATAGCATTCCAAGTGCCTTACTCTTGATGGTGGATAAAAATGGAGAAATCATATTCTTTGATTTTTACTATCTTCATCAACACCCTAAAACCAAGTGGGTTCAAAGGCTTCAAAGGTTGACATTCTAAAAACTCTTTGGTTGTTTTTATTTCATTCTAACCTCTATAAATGGATCCTTGATGGTTTGTTTTTGTTATAAACTAAAAAATAAACTTGTTATTTTTTTTTTTTGAACGACGGGGGTATTATTAAAAACTAGCAAGGAGCTAGAAAAGAAATATTACAAATGAGTGGAAGCTAAGGCTGGATTATGAAGCCATGCAGTCCAAGCAATCTTAGCTTTATTACACCTATTAGAAATCCAAAAGTACCATCTATTTATGACATTATAAAAAGTAAGAGATTTCCGAGGTAAGGTTGGACCAAACAGTAAGGAATTTCAATAATTCCAAAGACACCAAAAAGAAATCAAAACCACGGCGTCAAATACCTTCCGTTGTCCTCCTCGTAGAGGAATATGGTCCACCCATGAAAGTAGAATCAGAACAGAAATTTGGTTCGGGAGATGAACGTCCCACCAAATAGCAATACAGGTCCAAATATCACACAAGTTGCTACATCCAATGAAAAGATGTTCAATAGTTTCCAATCCATTATGACAAATGGGGCATAAAATGGTATCTACCTCAATACCTCTGTAAGACAACCTCTCCCATGTAGGAATGCTATGAAGGGACAATCTCTAGATAAAAACATTTAGTTTAATGGAACCCAGTTATTCCATCTAGTTTCCATGCCGTCCACAGAAAGGTATCTGTTGTCGATTAAAGCACAAGCCAAAGCAACTGAGAAAATGTTTGAAGCGTCAAATAGATACCCTAATCTGTCCGAACTAGAATTGAGGTGAACACTTTGCATCAACAACATGAACCGGTCCTACTGAGATTGCTCAATTCCACCTCTAGGCAACCGGCGATAGTTCTATTCGCCCCATCCAAGAGAAACACGATCTCTAACACACACCTGTTTGTAACTGTCCAAGGAAAAAATCCTATGAAAAGTAACCACAATAGGAACATTTCCTTTCCAAACATCATGCCAAAAACAATTAGCAGCCCCATTACCAACACGAATTGAAGTGAGGGAATGTAAGTCTAAGCCACAGTCACAGAGTTGAACTAACATCCGTATCAAACTATTCCAAGGCCCTGATCCAGCCCTTAAGGGTTTCAAATCAACACAACCCCCATCAGAACCATAGATGGCTTTAACAACCCGCACCCAAATGAGATCAGGATGGTGATAAAATCTCCACCACCAACGAAAGATCATCGATCTATTAAACGAGAACAAACTCCCAACACCTAAGCCACCATTAGATTTAGGAGCCAAAACTCTATCCCACTTGACCCAGTGCATGCGTCTGTCATCCAAATCAGCACCCCAAAAGAATCTGACTCGTTAGGCTCCAATAAGCTGAGGACCGTGACTGGAGTAGGGTAGACCGACATCAAGTAACTACCAATAGAGCCCAATACTAACTTGATTAAAGTCAATCTACCACCAAAAGAAAGGGTTTTAGCCTTCCAACCCACTAATCTATTTCAAAATCTATCTATAATGGAAGACCAAGTAGTAACCCTAGACATGTTTTCGCCCACCGGAATGCCAAGATGCATGAAAGGAAGGGAATCCAAAGTACATCCCATCTGATTAGCAGTAGCCAAAACTTGGGAAGAATTAACCCCCACTCTAATTAATTTGCTTTTATGCAAATTAATTTGAGACCCAAAGCCAAGAAAAAACATTGCAGGATATGAACAATATGGGAGCATTTTCCAAAGACCAAGGAGAAAGCAACACTACATCATTAGCATACATAAGGTGAGAGATAGTAATGCCACCAATAGAAATCCCCCTTAAAATATTAGCCACCTGAGCTCTAGTAAGTGCAACATGTAACCCTTCCATAGCAAGAATAAAGAGAAAGGGAGAGAGTGGATCTCCCTGTATCAATCCTCTTTGTATATGGAATTCCTACATTAGGGATCCATTAACAAGGATAGAAGCCCTAGCAGATGAGAGTAACTCTATAATCCAACGACACCAAGTCGAACCAAATCCCATAATCTCCATAATTTCATGAAGATATTCCCATGAGAGGGAATCGAAGGCTTTTTCGAAATCCACTTTAAAGACCATAATAGGAGTTTTAGAGGCCTTACACCAAGCTACCACCTCATTAAGAAGAAAAGGTCCATCTAAAATTTGTCTGCCGTTAATGAAAGCAGACCGCAAACTTGTTATTTTAAAGACTTCCGTTGCGGTTTTTATAAAAAACTAACTTATACTTTGTATCAAAATTCATCATTATCAAACTTATTCTTGAAAATTGTGTGTACAAGTTAGGGCTTATAAACTTATAGACCATATCACTCAATGGT